TCCCCGTCGGACGCCGACGAGGAATACGAAGAAGACGACGACGGCGGCGGCGGCGACGCGGCAGCCGCGTTCCTCGCGTTGGCCATTTTGTTGCTGACTTTCTTTTGCAGTAACCGAACGAACAAATCGAATTGGAACTCAGAAAAAAATTTGTATGGTTGCGGAGACGAAGGCGTGAGGCCGTAGTATATATATACGTGCGAGAGAGACGTTTAGCGCGTTGAGTTGTTCGAGAGCTGGGAAGGGGTTGGAAGTGGAACCTGGAAGGAATCCTCCTGACTTTTGTTTACCTTGATGTGATGGCTACCCATCGTGTGCTTATTTTATTGAGTTCTCCTTATTATTTTTTTTTTTTGGTTTGATAGACTGAAGAAGATGTTGTGAGTTTCTGACCGCTGGATTGTGGTCGATGGACGGGTGAGATGGGTGTGTTTTGGTGGGGGTGTGTTTGATGACTCAGCTTGGGGCTGGCTGGCCGGCTGGGTTTGGTTTTGAGTTGATCGGATCGCTTCCAAGCAATGCTTTCTTATGAGAAGGCCGGGTTAAGGGTTGGAAATATTCCTCTAAGCTCGTGCCAATGTGCATGTGTGTGCAGGGCGGCAGGGTCACTCGTGACCATTTCCTCTTCGATCTGTTGGTGAACACAATGTAAAAGTACTTCGTTCAAAAAAAAAAAAGAAGAATGTAAAAGGACTGTAGCTAAATGCTTCCTCCCTCACAGGCCTACGCGAAGCTTAAGGGCTAAGGCCTCCTTTTGTGAAGAATTGCTTAACGCGGGGAAACTTTATCTACTGTTACACTAGTTTGTTGAATGCAAATAGGTTATACATCTGTGATTTGTCATGCACCACGCCTTGAGAGCTTTCCAGCTAGCTAGATTCAAATCTAATGTCACGTTGATCCAAACAGATAGACAAGGAATCCCCAAAATCAAAAGTAGAGTAGGAAATTAAGAAACGAGCATAAATTTACAGTACCCGTCGCTGTACTAACCCAACAACATAATCCTACTATAGAAGTAGCAACCGAAAGGAACAAAATATGGCGGCGACGGCTCATTCACGTCGGCCACCGCCGCCGATGGCTAAAATCAACAGCTGCCCAGGCCGAATTCCACACAGTATAGTACACGCAGTACGGCAGCAATGAAGGCAGGAACGATCTCATCTCATTCTCACGCCAGACGAAGGCGAGAATAATAAACAAACCGGCCAAAACCGGATCGCACGATCAGCATCCAACGCCACGTAGCGGTCAAAGTTTTCTTCACGGATCCGGGCAAATGAAAAGGATCCCAGTTTGACCGCCCCAAAAGTAAACAGGCGATCAAGTTATACAGGTCACCGAACACGCGCGATAGATAGATCGAGCACGCACATGCGGATTAAACTAGTAGTATAAAATACTCCCTCCATTTTAGGTGATAAGATGTTTTGGCTTTGATCAAACTCAAACTACTTTTAAACTTTTAAGTTTAATTAAATAAACCCAAGATAAATTTATTATAAAAATATATTTAATTATTAATTTAATAAAACTAATTTGGTAATATAAATATTATTACTATATTTCTTTACAAACTTAGTGAAATTTAATACGGTTTGACTTTGACTATATTTAAAATATCTTATAACCTGAAACGGTGGGATTACATATTTACCAGCCGTCCTAATCCAATCGAGTAATCTATGCGTGATTGGTAGCCCGCGGCTAGCCGGGATTAACGTTTGACTTGATCAGAAACCACACGCACGATCTCGCGAATTAGCGGCCACGGCGACACGTGGCGGCAGCGGAGCAGCGGCGTCAACCTCTGACCACCGGCCGGGCCGGCCCGGCTGGTAATTAGTGGAGCGCGGTAAGCTCCAGCTACTAATCCAACGAGCAAAGCGGCCGTTCTCGCGTGGGCGGCGCCACGTTACGACGTGGTGGAGATTAACCAGGTAATAACACCAGGCCACACGCCTCTGCCGCCCCAAATCGCCGAAACGTTTCCGCGACGCGACGCGACGCGATAAGATGCGCGCGCGGGAGGATTGCGTGTACGTACGGGGAGGATGCGCGGGGGCGTGACGTCGTGGGGGCGCCGCAATCGCGACGAGTAGCGAGCGGTAGCGGCTCGTCGCGAGGTGCATCGGCTTACTAGCTTGGGAGAGCGACGTGTGCGCGCGGTGATGCCATCGTATGCGTGTGGAACCGTACAGGACGCGATGCAGACGCATACGCGATCTCGAGCGCCTGCTAGCTAGCGGCGACACGTACGGCCGGCGGTGTCACTCGCACACCGTATGGTGATGGGGATGCCCAGCAGCAGCCAGATGGGGGCCGGGGCCCCTGGGACTCGCGAGCGTGACATATCCGGATGCGCCATTTACGATCGAGTGGTCGCTACTAGCTACTAGCTGATCTATCGGATGCGGTGACACGCTCACACACACTACCCGGTGCGGTGACACACACTGACACGGCTTTCCTGGGCCATCGTCCATGCCGGCCACGTGGTCCGTCGGTTGAGGGACCGTGAGGTTTAACGTTTACGTGTGTGTTTAATGGATGCATGATACCGCGGTATTACAAGCTTATGGATATGCTTGGCTGTACGTACGCACGCACGTATACATGATACGCGCTACGTTGTGTATTCACTATTGAGTAGTACGTGGATGGTTGAGTTCAACCAGCAATATTGAGTACAAGCGTATGGGATCAGAGTATGATGACAATAGCAGTGCGTCACAGATTTATACCGAACCCTACATAACACGTAGACTAAGAACTGTATTTATCATATGCTCCACAATACAAATCATTTGTAGTGGGTCTCGTCATTATTTCTCCTTCACTTTTTCTCCCCATCTCTCTCCTCTCCTAGCAATTTTGCCTGGCGGAGAGAAAGTGAGCGTCTCCCTGGCGACTGAGCTACGCACCCGCAACGAACGGCACAACGGAGCTCGGCGGCGGCCTAGCCCAAGCGCGGCGCCGCTTCTCCTCCTCCTCCGACTATTAGCGGATGACGCGGGGGGAGCTCGGCGACGCGCCTGCGACGGACAGCGCGGCGGAGTTCGGCAGCGCGCTTGCGGGGGACTACGCGGCATAGCTCGACGCCGTCGATCTGTCACTGTTGCGTTTGGAGGCGGCGCGGAACAATGACAACGATGAAGTTAGGTGCTAGATCCACCACCTTCTCTTCCTCCGCCGCCGGCATCTTCCTTTTTACGCCCTACGCCACCGCAGTTGCTATCTTCTCTTCTTCTCCCTATACCGCCGCCGCCGTTGCATGGGTATGGGGGCGTCGCATGGGGCCATGCCCCCTCCCAATGTGCCCCTCGCCCCACGCCTGCCAGTTCTGACGAAGAACGGGTTGCTTTGTTTGGCTCCGTGTTCTTCGGTTGGAAAAGGTAGATGTGTGCGTGGCGTCGAATTTTCGACGTGGATGGTCAGGGTTGAACGCTATGAGATCCTGAGTTAACTTTTCGTGGAATCGTTCTTTAGTTTCTCGGCTCGAGAGTAGAAAACTAGAAATGTACAATGATGTATATATATACAGTGCTGCATACTACTGCAGAGTGCAGAGCTTAAGTTTCATGTGTCAATTATAGTACTTATGCATTTGTAAGAGAGAGTATCAATAATATTCAACGGGAAATGATGGATTAAAGAATTAACTCTGTCAGCACTTCAACTAGTAATGTCAATGATGGATCAACAGTCCAAAGTCCATAATATACTAAGCACGCAACTAGTACCAAATGTCAGCGTAACTTCTAGAAGTAGATAATGAAAACACTCAGAAGCGGACCAAGGAAAGAGCTTATGTAATTATATTAATCACCATCACTTGTATTTGCATAAGGACGTAATGCAGATCGCTATTACTCAAAAGCTAGATTGTTCAACCACTGCCTATAAAAATCATAAAAAAAAGAAAAAAACATAATACCTCGAACGAAATCATAGGACGCGATGCATATACGCATACACGATTGAGCGCCTGCTAGCTAGCGGCGACACGTACGGCGGTGTCACTCGCACACCGTATGGTGATGGGGATGGCCATCAGCAGCCAGATGGGTGTTGGGGCCGGGGCGCCTGGGACTCGCGAGCGTGACATATCCGGATGCGCCATTTACGATCGAGTGGATCGCTACTAGCTAGCTGATCTATCCGGTGCGGTGACACGCTCACACACACTACTCCGGTGCGGTGACACACACTGACACGGCTTTCCTGGGCCATCCATGCCGGCCACGTGGTCCGTGTTAGAATTACAAGAGTCCTCGTACATGTGACAATGATACACGCATATGTTAATACAGTGTATATGTCGTATCTATGGTTAGAGATAGAATCGGTTTTAGTTTTCTTTCATGTATTGAAAGATGTAATATGTCTCCAATCTGTGAGGGCTATTCTTGCCTATATTAACATGCAACGCGGCCTAGAGAGAGGTAAGATGCTTCTGCCAGATTTACATGGTATCAGAGCAGGATAGCCACGACGAGATTGCATCTACGGCAATGGCGAGTTCGTCTAGTTCCAGCGGCGCCAACCCTCTCTCGGGACAACCTATTCCAGAGAAGCTTACCAGGAATAACTTCCTGTTATGGAAGACACAGATCTTACCAGCAATCAGAGGTGCATGCATGGAAGGTTACATCACCGGCGCAAAGCAAGCTCCAGCTGCAGAAGTTGACGCCAAGGAAGGTGATAAGCTTGTCAAGGTTTCCAATCCAGCCTATGAGACTTGGGTTGCTGAAGACCAGCAGGTGCTAAGTTATATGTTGGCATCGGTATCAAAGGAGATTCTGACTCAGGTTGTCAATATAGAGACAACCGCTGAAGCCTAGAGGGCAATCACAACGATGTTGTCCTCCCAGTCTCGATCGCGTGCTCTGAACACGCATCTCGCGTTGTCGACAACTCGCAAGGGTGACCTCAGCGTTGCAGAGTATATCGGGAAGATGAAATCATTGGCAGATGAGATGGCATCTGCTCGGAAGCCGCTTGATGACGAGGAGATGATGTCTTATATTCTCGCTGGACTCGATGATGACTATGAGCCTGTTGTGTCCAATCTGGTTGGAAGGGCAGAGCCGGCTCCTATCACAGAAATCTATTCTCAGCTTCTAAGCTTTGAAAGCAGAGCTAGATTGCGGCAGCAGGCGAGCTCTTCATCTGTCAACAGCGCCAAGCATGGAGGGAAGAATAATGGCGGCTTCAACAGCAACTTCAACAGCAACTCAGCCAATTCCTTCCGCGGGCGCGGAGGTGGTGGTCGCGGCGATCGTGGCGGTCGCGGCCGAGGAAATGGTGGCGCGCGCGGTTTCAGCAACAAACCTCGTCTTACCTGCCAGCTTTGTGGAAAAATCAACCATGTAGTGGCTGATTGTTGGCACAGATATGATGAAAGCTTCGTTCCGGATTTCCGAACAGCAGCAGCTGCCTCCTATGGTGTAGATACAAACTGGTACATGGACATCGGAGCTACCGATCACATCACAGGAGAGTTGGAGAAATTGTCGACTCATGAGAAATACAATGGCAAAGATCAAATCCACACGGCGAGTGGAGCATGTATGAATATTAAGCATATTGGTCATTCTACTATTCATACCCCAGTTCGCAATATTTATCTCAAAAATATTCTTCATGTTCCTAAGGCTAAAAAGAATCTCATATCTGCCCATAGATTAGCCGTTGATAACAATGCTTTTGTTGAAGTTCACTCTCGTTTCTTTGCCATCAAGGATCAGGTCACGAAGAATCTTCTTCTTAGAGGGCCATGCCGCAATGGATTTTACCCGTTGCCAACATCTTCGTTTTCCTCATCCAAGCAAGTCCTCGGAGTCGTCAAGCCTACCTATTCTAAGTGGCACAGTCGTCTGGGTCACCCATCTTTAGCCATTGTTCAAAAGATTGTTAGCAACAATAAACTCCCATGTTTAGGAGAAATTAATGAGTTAGGTGTGTGTGATGCCTGTCAACAGGCTAAGAGTCATCAGTTTCCCTATCCCAAATCCTCTAGTGTGTCGAGTCATCCTTTAGACCTAGTGTTTTCTGATGTGTGGGGACCTGCCCCTATTTCTGTTGGGGGTAGAAAATAATATGTCAGTTTCATAGATGATTTCAGCAAATTTATTTGGATTTACTTGTTAAAGAATAAGTCTGAGGTGTTTTCCAAGTTTCATGAGTTTCAACAACGTGTTGAGAGACTGTTTAATCGCAAGATCATCTCTATGCAAAATGACTAGGGAGGAGAGTATGAAAAAATAAATTCTTTCTTTAATAAGATTGGTATCTCTCATCATGTCTCCTGTCCCTATGCTCACCAACAAAATGGTTCCGCAGAGCGCAAATACAGACACATTGTAGAGGTTGGGCTATCTCTTCTTGCTCATGCTTCAATGCCGCTTAAATTTTGGGATGAAGCTTTCCTTGCAGCCACATATCTTATAAATCGCCTACCTAGCAAAGTCATACAATATGATACTCCTCTGGAGCGACTCCTTAATCAAAAACCCAACTACTCTGCCTTGAGAACCTTTGGGTGTGCTTGTTGGCCTAATCTTCGTCCCTATAATAAGCGTAAACTTCAGTTTCGCTCAAAGCAATGTGTCTTCTTTGGATATAGTAACATACATAAAGGTTTCAAGTGCCTAGACATATCCAGTGGCAGAGTTTATATTTCAAGGGATGTTGTTTTTTATGAGAATATTTTTCCTTTCTCTAAACTGCATTCAAATGCAGGAGCTAGGTTGAGATCAGAAATATTGCTTTTACCTTCATTTTTAAGTCCTTCTGGGGTTGAATATAGTAATGATCATATGCTTAATACTCCTGAACATTCTAATGGTGTATATGAGAATGTTACAGATCAGCAGGGGCAAAGTTCAGATTATGGGGAGCATATAAATACGGGTGATACAAGAATTTTTGGCGCAAATACAGAAGATCCTGGTGGCACAGAAAATCCAGATCATGATGCAAATAATCAGTCTAATAGCGAGGACTCCCATGGTGTTTTTTCTGATGCCGTGCGGTTTGATGCTGACGAGGATGTTAGTGTTGCGTCGCAAGGGGAGCAAGAGAGCCAATCACCGCCTGCCACTGCCACCACGTCGTCTTCATCATCGCCTGTTGAGTCGCCTGTATCACCAGTCACGTCTTTGCAGGAAGATGTGCAGCAGCAGGACATGCAGATAATACAACAACAGCAAGATGTACAACAGACAGGACATCAGACTCGACCCACTACTCGTCTTCAACGAGGGATAAGAAAAGAAAAGGTATACACGGATGGGACTGTGCGGTATTCTTTTCTTGCTACTAACGGGGAACCAAATAATTTAAGTGAAGCATTAGCTAATAATGATTGGAAGAATGCTATGGATATTGAGTTATTTGCTCTTTTGAATAATAAAACATGGCATCTTGTTCCACCTAGTCATGGCAAGAATATTATAGATTGCAAGTGGGTATATAAAATCAAAAGGAAGTCTGATGGAAGTCTGGATCGTTATAAAGCTCGATTAGTGGCTAAGGGCTTTAAACAACGATATGGAATTGATTATGAAGATACTTTCTGTCCAGTGGTTAAAGCGGCTACTATCAGAATTATCTTGTCTATTGCTGTATCTAGAGGATGGTGTCTTCGACAGCTTGATGTGCAGAATGCTTTTATTTATGGTTATCATGAGGAGGAAGTATATATGAGACAGCCCCCTGGATATGAAGATAAAAGTAAGCCTAATTATATTTGCAAGTTAGACAAAGCTCTTTATGGGTTGAAACAGGCTCCTCGTGCTTGGTACTCAAGGTTGAGTATGAAATTATGTGATCTTGGTTTTAAGGCATCTAAGGCTGACACATCATTGTTCTTTTATAATAAAGGGGATGTTACAATCTTTGTGCTTATCTATGTTGATGATATAATTGTTGCAAGTTCTACAGAAGGGGCAGCTATTGCATTATTGGCAGACTTGAGACAAGAGTTTGCACTGAAAGACTTGGGGAATTTTCATTATTTCTTGGGTATAGAGGTGCGTAAGTTACATGATGGTATACTACTAAAACAGGAAAAATATGCTACGGATTTGCTGAAGAAAGCTGGAATGATGGATTGTAAACCAGTTAGTACTCCTATTTCTACTTCAGAGAAATTATCAGCCTATAGTGGTACTGTTCTGGGTGAAAATGATGCAACTAAATATAGAAGTATAGTTGGAGCTTTGCAATATTTGACTTTAACCAGACCTGATATTTCCTTCTCAGTGAACAAGGTTTGTCAATTTTTGCATAGTCCAACAGTTGAACATTGGACATCAGTGAAAATGATATTGAGATATATAAAGTCTTAAGTTGATTTGGGTTTGAAAATATGTCATTCATCTTCTATGCTTGTGAGTGCTTTTTTAGATGCTGATTGGGCAGGATCTGTGGATGATAGAAGGTCAACTGGAGGCTTTGTTGTGTTTTTGGGATCCAACTTAGTATCCTAGAGTGCTAGAAAGCAAGCTACTGTATCCAGGTCAAGTACAGAGGCAGAATACAAGGCAGTAGCTAATGCAACTGCAGAAGTAATGTGGATACAAACTTTTCTTAAGGAAATTGGAGTTAATACATCTCAAGCTGCTTGTTTATGGTGTGATAATCTTGGTGCTACATATCTTTCAGTTAATCCTGTGTTTTATGCCAGAACTAAGCATATAGAAGTGGATTATCATTTTTTCAGAGAAAGAGTTGCCAGGAAACAATTGGTGATAAAATTTATATCTTCAGGAGACCAAGTTGCTGATGGTTTTACTAAACCATTGTCGGTTCAGCTGCTAAGAAATTTTAGACACAATCTTAACTTAGATAAGTTATGATTGAGGGGGAGTGTTAGAATTACAAGAGTCCTTGTACATGTGACAATGATACACGCATATGTTAATGTAGTGTATATGTCGTATCTATGGTTAGAGATAGAATCGGTTTTGGTTTTCTTTCTTGTATTGCAAGATGTAATATGTCTCCAATCTGTACACGTCTCGGTGAGGGCTATTCTCATCTATATTAACATGCAACGCGGCCTCGAGAGAGGTAAGACGCTTCTGCCAGATTTACAGTCCGTCGGTTGAGGGACCGTGAGGTTTAACGTTTACGTGTGTGTTTAATGGATGCATGATACCGCGGTATTACAAGCGTATGGATATGCTTGGCTGTACATACGCATGTGCGTATACATGATACGCACTACGTTGTGTATTCACTATTGAGTACTACGTGGATGGTTGAGTTCAACCAGCAATATTGAGTACAAGTGTCTGGGATCAGAGTATGAGATTCTGAGTCTAACTTTTCGTGGAATCGTTCTTTAATTTCTTGGCTCGAGAGAGTAGAAAACTAGAAATGTACAATGATGTAGTATATATATATACACTTATACAGTGCTGCATACTACTGCAGAGTGCAGAGCGAGCTTAAGTCTCATGTGTCAATTATAGTACTTATGCATTTGTAAGAGAGAGTATCAATATAATATTCAACGGGAAATGATGGACTAAAGTAAATTAGCTCTGTCAGCACTTCAACTAGCAATGTCAATGATGGATCGACGGTCCATAGTCCATAATATACTAAGCACGCAACCAGTACCAGTAATGTCAGCATAACTTCTAGAAGTAGATAATGAAAAATACGTACACTACAAAAGAAAGAAACATTTTTTCAGACGATCAAACCCTATTTATTCATGCAGTTGAACCACCCATTTGCTCGAAAGTGTCTACGAAAATCGCTACTACCTCCATCCCATAATATAAAAGATACCGTTTGACCACTAGTCTTATTTAAAAAATTTGTGCAAATATAAAAAATAAAAAGTCGTGTTTAAAGTACTTTGGATAATAAAGTAAGTCACAAATAAAAAAAATAATAATTCTAAAATTTTTTGGTTAGACGAATGGTCAAACAGTGCAAGAAAAAGTCAAAATTACTTATATTATGGGATGGAGGGAGTATTTTTTTACTCCAATTTTCTTTTCCATCTCTTTTTGCCAGGCTTCTCTCCCATTTTCGTTTCCCTGCGGCTGTCCTGCCTGTCCAGTAATTTAAACGGAAGGGTTTGCTTCCATCACCCTGCTGGTGTCAATAGCATT